GGGGGGGCAGGGAGGAGGGAGAAGAGAGAAGAGGCTGGCATGTTCCCCCCTACCCCCAGCCCAGCAGGGTCCACCCAGCCTCCCCAGTGAGCACCAGGAGGGAAAGGGACCCCTCCCACACTACAGTCCAGCTCCCATGTGGGGTAGGGGCCTCCAATTTTGTGTTGCCCCATGTTCCCAATACACCTTAATCCACATCTGCATGCACACACCTACCTCTTTGCTTTCTGATTTTATGGGACTTTTCCAAGTCAGTACAGTAATCATCTCTCTTTGGTTGTTGATTGTATTCAGAGGAAAATTCCAGGTCCCCCATTTGGCACCCATATTTGGAAAGGACTGCACATAGGATCCAAAGAGTCCGCCTGCCCTCCAACATCTGTACAAAAATGCCCTAATGTGCTGCAAGTCCGTCAGCTGATTCAGTATGAGCCAATCAGTAATGAGCTGAGAAGGAAGCTGGAACTCTCTCTCAAGGTAATGTGGTCTCAATTACTTCATTCTTTCAGTACAAAGAACTGGCAAATTTCCCATATATAAGGACAAAGGGGTTTGTTTGCAGCATGCAGTGCCAATTTCACTTTGTAGCAGTCCTGCCCCTCAATACTGATTGGCGATGAGGCCCCATGGGTTGAAGGGATGAAGGGGTTGCTGCCACCTTGATTGTTGGCTTCCATTTGCACCACCTCACCCTTCAGTGCTGATTGGAAGAGCGGCCCTGGTGAGTAGGGGGAGGGACAAGGGAGCAGTCATCATCTTATCTGCTGTCCTTTATATGGCTCCACCAGCTGGCACCTTCCCCTCTCAGCAGTGAGGACTGCTGGCTTCTACTAGGGAGCCAGCATTTTATTTTTATTAAGTTTTTTTTGTTTATTTCACAGACACTCCCAGATTTCGTGGTTTCCGCAAGATTCGTGAATTAAATAGGTCCATATACACCTGAAGCAAGAGCTGTAATGGACCTTAAATTTAATAAATGTTTTATAAGCATGCGTATATCCACAAAAAACCCATAACCCCTGAGCAGCACAGTTATTCCACTGCATCCTTAATCTATAACATTGCTTATTAATATTAATATACTGTGGATTTTGTTGGGCCCCTGTATAAATGCGATGCTGACAGGTAGTTTCCTTTGTGAAGAGTCAAAGCATTGAAGTCAGAAATAAATGGGCCATTCAACCACTTCAGTCTTTTAAGTGGTCTTTTAAGGCCTTTATTTCCCTGCTGAGAAATGGTATGATTTTTACCTCTAAGAACCTAACAACTATGATCTCCCAAGGTAAAAGACAGTGAAGGCAAAAATGCTTCCTTTTTATAGCAAGATAAATGATATGAAGCCATCCTCAGGCAGAAGCACAGTACTCATCTTGCCTAGTTTACCTTATAGTAAAAATGAAGTATCCTGTTTTCACTGAGTTTTTCCCCGTGGGCTAGTTCACATGCATTAGTGAAATGAAACCCACTTTTTTAGCAGTGAAGACAAGGCCTCTTGCAGGGCTGAGGCTCAATGACACACAGTGTTTGCTGTGAGAAGATTTACTTCTACTAATTATGTTGCATTCTGAGAATATACAGGTCTCAGGGGCCGGGGTGGGGGGGGCGGCATGGACTGCTTTCATTTCCCTTTCACTCTACCGCTTCAGTCATAGGGGTCACACGGGGCCTTGCTCACCTACTTACTGCTCAGCATGACCTGGAGTTAGGATTGGGTGCTGACTTACTTTCCATTTGGGGTGATAAGGAAACCTAGCAGGTGCTCAGGACAAGGCACTGCAGCCAAGCTGTCTTTGACAGAGCGGCCTTTGAAAGAGCACAACACTGTTGAAATGCCAGCTTGTTGACATGGCTGGTCCTGGAATCAGTGCCACATAAAGATCAAGATCCTGAAGCTGCAGCACAAGATGCCGGTCATGTCTTCAGTGGCCTGCAAGGAGATGCTTGCCTACAAAGAAGAGCTCTCACAGATCATTGTGAGGGACAAATCCATGCAGCCGTGTTTCACAGGGGAATTCTTTTAGGCTATTTCACAACCATTAGGTAGGCACAAGCTTGCATCTTCTGCAGATATAAGCTTGTTGTGTTTGTCTCATCCAGGGTGCTGTGATACTCTGGGTTTATCCACAAGATAAACTCAGAGATTTCAAATAGAAATTCAGTGTTAAAGAAGTCTGACCTGTTATGGTCTAAGTTCTTTACAACTTAAGAATTTTTTATTTTTCTACAGGCAAAAAAAAAAAAATTAAAAAAAGAGACAACTAAAGGCTGACATTTGCTGAGAGTTGCCTTCAATCCCAAAAGGTTGAAACTCATTCAGAAATAAATTACTCCAGCCACAAGTTTAGTTAAGAGTGCTGCCAGTCTGGCAAGCATGGAATATATTGTGAACATAAAGTTAAGCTTTGCATTCATTACTACTAACAGATTCAACAGAAAGTAGCTTTAAATTCTCATATACACACATCACAGGGACCAGATTTTATTCCACCTAGGCTAGGGACAGACATTACACATAAACAGGTTTAAGTGATCAAAAACTGGTTTAAACCTGTAACAGAACAGACATTCAGTGCACATAAACCAGTTTCAAAATGGCTGAAACCAGAATAAGATATACCTGGTTGAATGTAGTATCAGACTTAACTGATTTGGCTCAAACCAGCTTATGTATTGTCTGTACCAGACCCCTGCTTAGTTTAAGTTACACCAGACTCCTTCAGCATCCCAGCACGCTCTCTGGACTGGGTGGGGATCTCTGCTCCAGCCTCAGGGCTGACCCTGCCCCTCTGCTCTCTAGCCAAAGCAAGGACCAGTCCTAGTGGCCCTGTTAAGGCAGAGTGGGCAGGGAGGGGGTTAATTCTTCCTTCCTTCCCCTCCTCTCCCACTGCAGCCAGGATCTGCCTGTTTGCCAGGGAGCAGAGAGGAGGGGGCTGTGGTGGTGGCCTCTGGGATTGGCAGGCAGACCCCAGCTTCAAAGCAGAAGGAACAGAGGGAAGAATTAAGCCTTTTTATTGCTACTGTCACCTTAGAGCCGTGCTGGGGCTCTGTTCTGTGCTTGGGGGGGGGGGGCTCTTCCCCCTCCTTTTCCCTCCAGTTTGGGGGGCCTCTGTGTGGGGCTGGAGAGAGACTCCTGCTCCTCCTCACCCTTCCCCCCTTGGGGTGGGGAGGGGGACTTTGCAAGGTTCCCCAGCCCCTAGTGGGGACTCTTCACCCCCACTTCTCCCCCCCACCACTGCAGCAGGGTGGGGAGGGGAGCTATGTTCAGTGCTGGGGTGTGGGGAGCTCTTCCCCCTCCTCCTCATGCCCTCCCCGCACCACTTGCCACCACAGGTTGGGGAAGGGGCACTCTGTTCAGTGCCTCCCCATGGGGGGAGGAGAAGGGCGGGTTGTGCAGCATTCCCTGGCCCAGCCCAGCCCAGCCAGGGCGCTGGGAATAGCTGTGATGGAACCACAGCTCCAGGGGTGGCTCCAGCCCCATGGTCCGGCCTGGCCAGACCATGTGGCTGCCTTGGCCTGGGCTAAGTGAAGCTGGTCCAGGCCACAGGGGTGAGGCCATCCCCAGCAGCTACAGCTCTACAGAGCTGCTCCCCATCCCCTGGCTGAGCTGGGCCGAGCTAAGGAGTGCCACACAGAGGACCCCCCCCATCCCCGCCTCATGGGGGTGGGGGGAGGAGGAAGGGGAAAAAGTACTCCCCAGCCCTGAACAGGAGTGCCCATTCCTACCCCATGGTGAGGGAGGGGCAGGGGGCTCTGTGTGGTACTTCCCAACCTGGCCCAGCCCGGCCCAGGTCAGCCGGGGCATGGGAAGCAGCTGTAATGGAACCACAGCTGCCACGGTGGTCCCACCCCCACAGCCCAGACCAGCTTCACTCAGCCATGGCCGCAGCTGAAGTACTGTGTCCAGTTCTGGGTGCTGCACTTCAAGAGGGACGTGGAGAACCTGGAAAGGGTCCAGAGGAGGGCCACTCATATGGTTGAGGGCCTCCGTGGCCAGCCCTGTGAGGAGAGGCTGAGGGACCTGAATCTCTTCAGTCTCCACAAGAGACTGAGGGGGGATTTTGTGGCTGCCTACAACCTTATCAGGGGCCACCAGCAGAGACTTGGGGAAAGTCTGTTCACTAGGACCCCCCTTGGCATCACCAGGAACAATGGCCACAAGCTGAGGGAGGATAGGTTTAGGTTAGATATTAGGAAGAACTACTTCACCGTAAGAGTGGCCACCTCATGCCAAAGAGGAAGAAGCTTTTCTCAGCTAGAATGGCAGACCTCCTGGATAGGGCTTTAAAATAAGATCACAGGAGATGGGCCATCAAATACTAGCGCAAGCCTGAGAAATGGCAACCTCGAAACCCAGCATCCCAGGATGCACTAGCAAGCATTCTCTGACACAGGCCAATGGACAGGTTATTCCACAGCTCACCAGAAAGCCTAAGGCTTTCAATGGTAGGCTTAGCTCCCTGTACACTAATGCTAGAATCATGGGAAACAAGCAGGAGGAACTGGCCTTCCTACTAACCAAGCAATATGATCTCATATGGGTCATGGAGACCTGGTGGGACTCCTCCTATGACTGGACCACAGGTATAAGGGGATAAACCTGTATAGGAGGGATTGCATTGGGAAGAAGGGCTCTCTATGTGAAGGAACATTACATCTCCCTAGAAGCAAAGTTTGGAAACAAAGAACAGCTCACATGAGACCCTCTGGGTCAAGATATGTGGAGAGCATGGGGAAGGAGTTTTGACCATAGGAGTTTATTACAGACCTCCAAACCAAGAGGAACTGCTGAACCAGGAATGAAGGGAAATCAAAGGGAAACTGGGTGACAATGACCATGAGATGATCACCTTCTCCATCCACTGTAAATCAAGGAAATTGGCCAGTAGGATAGAAATCCTTGATTTTAAGATGGCTGACTTCCACAAACTTAGGAAATTGGTTGGCAAGGCCCTGAGGGCCCATGGCCCAATGAGGAAGGGAATACAAGTTGAGTGGACATTCCTCAAGGAAGCAATCCTAAATGCTCAAAGGAAGTCCATTCCTTTTCATAAGAAAGGGAGCAAAAAGTCTGCGAGACCCCCTTGGCTCAACAGGGAAGTCATGGACCTTCTGAAATTAAAATGTGAAGCCTACAAGGGATGGAAGTCAGGAGTAACTACCAAAGAGAAGTACTCAACAACAGCCTGCACCTTTAGGGAGCAGATCAGGACAGCAGAATCACAAACCGAGTACAAATTGGCAACCAGAATCAAGGACAACAAAAAGTCCTTCTTTAGATATGTAGGAAGTTGGAAAAAAACCAAGGGAAACATAGGGCCCCTGATGAATGAAGTGGGGTGGCTGATAACTGACACTCAGGACAAAACTGAACTCCTGAATGAATATTTCTCATCAGAATTCCACCAATCCAAGGTTGTTAGCTTATTTGACAGGATACAAGATGGTCATGGTGAAGGCGACTACCCTACCATAGTTGG